TCCACACAATTACCCCTCCCGAGTCCAGCTCATTAGCTAGCCGTTGCCATTAGCAGTCTTGCGTGAGTTAGTGACGCACAGGCTAATTGTGTGGAAAGGATAGGCGTCAGGAGTGTTCGGAGGGCACCGGGGGTCCCCGAGGGCTCCACGCTGAGCACCTGAGCTCCTTCTCATCTCCCTGACTGTCAGTCTCTGAGGTGGAATGGCCAGGTAAACATGTTTCTGCATCTCTGTCCTCCACTACGCCCTGGACAACAGAGACTGAAACCACGTCCTCCTAACGCCAGCACAGGAGCATGTTTCAGTGTTTCTAAGGCCATCCTGGTTCTTGTGTAAAAGGCGTTTGTTGGTTGTAGTCGTGCACCACAGTATGAAATGGTCAGATGAGTGAATGTGAGGCTGTTCGTGCAGCTCTCCTCGCTGTCATGACACTGTAATGGAGGACGTTGCATCATGTGCTGCTCCTCTGCCATCTCCCTCTGTTCTGCCCCGGGCCGAGCCACCTGAGCTCCTGGGAATTTCCTCCTTCCTGCTCCTTTTTCTTCATCGTATGCATCTCCTTCTTCTTCCTCTTGTTGTCACATTTGTCCTGTCTTAAGCCTTCCCTCTCTTCTCATTCTATGTCTCTGACATTAGAAGTGATTTTCCTAAAGGTCTTTTTCCTCACGCCTTTTTCTGCTGCTGTTTTCTTTTAGAGAAGAAGAGCGCAGACACCGGGGTGGTCATGCCAAATATGATATGTCACGGTGGAAGTCAATCAGCAATTCATGAATTCTCATTGCAATCCTTTTTCAAAAAAATGTCACATCCAGTGGCTAACGCTGTGTTTCAGATGGAGGAGAGTTATTGTATTTTTCCTGCAAAGGTCAGATATATTTGACGGTCATGCTGTATCTGAGGTGAAAAAGGAGAGTATGCAGCAGGATGTTGTAAATGATTGCCGATTGACAGGGCAACTTGCTGCACACTCGTAGTAGGTATGAGTGCCCACTCGCACATTTTGAAACCTCCGCTGTCATGTGCACACACGTTAGCAGTTCCTTCCTTTGTGTAACGCTCAGGGGACTGGTGCACGCACCATTTCCGTCTGTCCAAAATCTCTTTGTTTTTCTATTTCAGTCTGTTCTTCGTCTCTCGCTCCGTCTCTCACTTACAGTCGGAGACGGCACAAGTTTGGTAATTTTGTGCCCGCAGGATTATACAACGAACCTAACATGTGCACGAGGCGAGGGGGAAAAGAGCATGACAGCTTGTGAATAATAAAAAAGTGGATAAGTTTGGATTAAAGTTTTATAAGCAAATGTAGCTTGCATTTGTTTGGAGTTGGTAATTGCGATTTTACCCAGCTTTCAGTGTTTTTATCTCCCAAGATTACATGGCTTGTGACATGATGTTTTGAGTTGTGGTATGTTGACGTAGCAAAGGGACAGTTTTATTTGGACATCCTGCAGCATTGTAAGTAATAGGAAGTCTTGTTGTTTCATGGGAGGGAAACTGAGCATCTGAAGCTTCTGAGATGACTGAAAGTGAAATGGCAGTTATCCCACAACAGAAAGGTCCTCCATCTATTTTCTGTATTCAAGAGGGAAGCGGCGAGGACGGAGGAGAAAAGAGAGAGGGATGGATTACCGAAGAGCCGCATGCATCTGTCTCATTCCTTTTTATTTATTCTCCTTGTTTGTTTTTTTCCTCATCTCCAACATCCCCCCCCCCACCCCCACCCCCATCTTCAACACACTTTTGCTTTGCCCTCTTTCAATTTCTCGCCCCCCTCCCCACCCCCTTCCTCCTCCTCTCTTTTCTCCTCCCTCTGCCTCCCAAGGGAGAAGAGATTCTGCCTGCTGCTCGTTAGTGCTCCCAGCCAATCTGCATTTTTAATTAGTAGTTATTGCTTCTGCTTAATATTCAAGTGCTACCCCGGGCCAAATGGGAATCCTTACAAAAAAAAAAGAGAAAGCGAGGGGAGAGAGAGGGAGAGAGAAGGAAAGAGAAACCGGCTGGGTATTGTGTTTCACTCCAGGACCCCGAGACAAAAGCCCCCCCCCCCCTCAGGGAAAGATTTGGAGGGTTTTGGGGGTGGGGGGGTAGAGGGGTGAGAAGAGCTGGGGTTGGAGGATGGGTCTCAAGTACAATCCAGAGGGGTGACATATTTTCGTGGTGTCTCTTGGCCCCCCGTACTACATTATAATCTTTTTATCTCATTTTCTTTTTATCTCCTGAGCCCTGACCTACCTACCTCTCTCTCTCTCTCTCTCTCGCTCTCTCTCTCACTCTTCACCCTATTTTTAAAAAGAAGTATCTCAACTTCTCCTGGGTTTCTCCTCAGGCTAGGTTAAAGGACATGAACACCACAGCTCCTCTCGTCTCCAGACAGAGGGAGGGTGGGAGAGGGGGGGGGAAAGAGAAAGAAACAGTTGCTCTCTTTTTCATCTTCACTCTCCTCCCCCCCCTCCAGTAAAATACAGAAGGATTTGACTTGAGGAAACATGAAAGAGGCTTATACCAGAGTCTGCTTTGAACCTCTCCAAAACAGAAAAAAAGAAAAAAGAACTGTTTTCCCCCACAATTTGGGGATCTTCTCTCCAATTCTGATTTATGCAGAAAGGCCTCATTTGTCAAGCAGGCTGAGTCAGTGCCTGATTTGCATAAAGCGTTCATTTTCTACGTTCTGCTAATTAGCAATTTGCAGCTTAATTGGAGAGTAGCTCTCAGTTAGGAGACAAAGCTATCCACATATAAAAATATCTCCAGATGTACTTTGCAACACGACTGCATCTCTGTTGGTCTTTCTGCTTCCGCAGCCCCATTCCTCTAATCTGCTTCGGGTCATACTTTCCCACTCACTTTTACTTTATTTTGACATTACTTCTTCATCACCTGACCCTCCTCTTCATCTCCCATCAATTTGAGTCCATATCAGTCTATCTGTGCTTTTTTTTCTGGTAGATGTGGCTTTTATCGTGCTGATACTCGTGTTCCTGTTCAGTTTTTGTAACTTTATAGTGTCTTTTAAGTCATCGTTTTGTTTTTTTGACACATTGAATGTACTCCCATCATTTCGGCTGTAGCAGGCAGCTGTAATAAAAACACACTTTACACTACCAGCTCAGCATCAAACAGACTGACTAACACTAAGTGAGCAGCTAGTGAACATAGTCGAGCATTTAGCAGCTAAAGATCCAGATATTGTCCAGAGTTGGTAGAGACCAAACATGGAGCTAATGGGAGTGAATTCATCAGGTGGACTCAAAGACAACTCAACTTTCAAATTGGTGTTTCTTTGCTTATGCTGGATGTGTAAAAAGGCAACTGTTTCCTAAATTCGCCATATCAGCTTAAAAAATGTCTTTGCCAAAATAAAATTTTATGTTGACACTTTTATTCTTCACTAACTAGCATTGATCAAAATACTCACTCAGTTTTGTCCGTCTTTGTTTTCCAGTGAATGAGGAGCCCTCCTACTTCACCTGCCAGCAGTGTGAAGGCGTGTTTCCATCTGCATGGGCGCTCGTACAGCACGCTCAGCACACACACTCCTTCAGCATCTACCAAGAGGATGAGGAGGAAGACACAGACATGAGAGGAGGAGGAGGAGGAGGAGGAGGAGGAGGAGGAGGAGGAGGAAGAAGAAGAGGAGGACGTAAAGGGCACAAGCCTGCTACAGCCACTCTGGACCCTCGCCACCTGAGCCAAGCCCTTGCCTCTGCCTTTCAGCCCTCCGCCCTGCGCCCCGGTCGCTCCCGTCAGACACACACCACCTCCACCTCCTCCTCCAGTAACCTGCAGGCTCTGAACTTTTCAGTGCGGCTCAGGGAGCTCGCCGAGGGGAATAACAACAACACCGGCAGCTCCCCCGGAGGCCTGATGCTGTCTCCGTCCTCTTCTCCACTAGCAGTTTCTCCCTTTCCTCACACCAGCGCCCTCCAGTCTGACTTCCACTGCGAGCTGTGTGACCAGAACTTCCAGTCCCTGCACGCCCTGTCCACCCACCGCCGGACTCACCCCTGCAACAGGCCCTATCACTGCGGAGTGTGCGGGCAGGCCTTCGCCCAGAGCGGCCAGCTGGCCCGGCACATAAGGAGCAATCACAGGGTGGCTGGTGGTGGAGGAATTGGGTATGAGTCGGTAGATATGGTCGTGATGGAGGAGGATGTAGGGAGGCACGGGATGAGAGGCAGGTTTCAAATGCAGCCAGCTGGAATCATCATGGGAAAGGGAACTGTTGGTGCAGAAGTAAGAGCCCAGGGTCCCTCCGAGTTAGACCTGACCCTGCCCAAACACCCGTCCATAGCTTCAGGCCTGATGCTGCTGACCTCTCAGGTTAGACCGCCAGACAGGGAGCTGCTGAGGCTGTACCAGCGCCAGAGAGAGGCGGGAGAGGGAGGGGAAGAGGATGCAGAGGGGCAGGGGGAGCCTCAGCACACCTCACCGTGCGCCAGCCCCTCTGAAGGCTCACTGGAGAGTGGAGAGACGGGGGGCAGTGGCGAGAGCGGCATCGCTAGTGGCAACTGCACGCCCAAACGGCCAGAGATGAGCGAGAGAGTGCGAGGAGTCGTAGAGTGGGAGCACGAAACAGGGGAGATCATAGAGAGCGAGACAGACTGGAGCTCAGACAAAGTCAGCGAGGTTGTGCAGGAGTGGCAGAGGGAGAATGAGCGGAGGAGTGTAGGAGGAGGTGTCAGCGGCGGAGGAGACAACAACAACAACATTACTACTGCTGGTTCAGCTGGTAAGAAGAAGAAAGATGAAGCTTGTGAGTACTGTGGTAAACAGTTCAGAAATAGCAGCAACCTGACTGTGCACCGCCGCAGCCACACAGGTGAACGGCCGTACCGCTGCGGCCTCTGCAACTACGCCTGTGCTCAGAGCTCAAAACTAACGCGCCACATGAAGACCCACGGCGCGCAGGGAGCCAAGGCGTCCTTTTTGTGCCAGCTGTGCTCGGTACCCTTCACCGTTTACGCAACTCTGGAAAAACACCTGAAGAAAGTCCACGGCCTGAGCCACGCCAGCGTGGGAGCGTATGCGCAGGCCAGCGCTGCAGACACTTTGGCTGCCATAAAAGCTGAAGAAGAAGGAGTGGTGGTGAAAATGGAGGAGGTTGAAGCCAGTCTGGATCAGATAGAAATGGAGAGAAAACTTCAGAGTGATGTGGTGAAAAGCATGGAGGTGGAAGAGGAGCAAGTCCATGCAGAGTGTGTGGAGAACGGCCCAGCCATAGTGGCTGATCTCCCGCCCGAGAGCAACGCGGAGGTTAGCTTAGCTTTGACTTCTGCGCCATGAAAGCTGTTCTCATTCCCTTATTGACATTAAAATAGCACTGTATAGGATTTAAGTCGCCCATTCGAATAAAAAGAATTAGTCCCATCATTGAACGGACAGTCAAGTAAAACTGGAATCTAGTTTAAAGAAGCAGCAGCAGCAGTCCCGTCATCTCTACCAGCGCCGAGGCACGGCCTCGTTGTTCATGACTGTATGCAAAGCTGCTGGTTGAAACTTAAGTGCCTACAGTTCTTTAGACCACAGAGCGAAAACAAGGCCATGACATTCAGCAGGGAGATTACCAGAACTCTTGAACAGGAAGTGAACCGCCACAGTCCACACAGGAAACTGATCACCACGTTGCAGTGCAGGATGCAAAAGATGAGTGATTTATCTCTCTGGCGACTGGACAGGTGGAGACAGATATTAACTGTCAGATAATATAGTAAAGGGATTCTATTGATTACAAAAAGCCTGGCAATAGAACGATGTTAATATATCTTCAGCATCAGCAGGTGGAGAAAGGTCATATTGTGTTTTCTAGCTGTTGCTGCTTTTCTTTTGAGAAGACCTTTTAAAGACTAGAAATGTTTGAACAGGCACGAGGGTGAAATGAATCCAAACACTGTCCGCCTGCAGTTTCTCAGACTCCAATCTTTAGAGGCGCTTGGTTGTCACAACACTTGTCACTTATGTAATGTTTACAGGGCTCCAGGAGCCTGGCAAGGTTGTGCTCCTGACTTTGTGACAGTATGTATGGATCATCTTCTGTTTTCTAATTTTATAAATGTGAATACGGAGACTTTAAAGTCTCATCTACTGATGGTTTTTTTTCATGATTCGTTTCTATGCATAAAAAAAAAAACTGCAATTTTACCTACATGTGAAACGGGTGTGTATTATGTTCTCTATTTGTACCTATTATTGTGCTGGTAATTTCTCACTTTCATTGTTTACATTTGTAAAGTGCCGGACTGCTTGAAGCTCGTGCATGTTTTGCAGCCATTTAAAACTTCTTTTTTTTTTTTTAGTTGCCCGTGTTTGAGTTGTTCCTAATTTATGGATGCTGCATGTTGGGAATTGTGTAACTGCTGAGCTACAGGGTTGAGAGGTGCTGGAGTAGCTCGTTGATTGGTGGAGTTTTGCAGGAAGCACTTGGGTGAGTTTGGGTGAATGTCTTTGTTTGTTTGTGTTTACATATCGGGGGGGCGAAATGCTCAGGTGACACTTCTACTTGAACCCTCTGTCCTGTGATCTCGTGTCCAGAGCATGACGCCGCAGGTCACAATCACCGTGTCATGCTTATGGCAGGTGTGTCACTGACAAGGATTTAAGAAAGAGGAACCTACGCATTTTTAAAAAACAACAAAAAAAAACAGGTCAAAGTTGTCCAGTAGAGTGCAGCCGACGTTTTTGTGACTACTGTGATGACTTTGTGTGATCATATCTGATCTACTTGCATTCATGTCAGGGAAATTCTTGTGTGTGTTGTGTAATGAATGATCGTGAACGAGTGCAGAGTGCAACTGTTCAGGGATAATATTTTGTACATAGATTGACATTCTTGCTGTTGCTATGCTTATTATTGTTATTATTATTAATATTAACTGCCTCCACTTTCCCTGGCATCGTCTCCGTTCTGCTGAACCCCGGCTATTGTGAAGCTCTGCTGTCTTTGTAAACTTGACACCATTTTGTAATTCACCTTCTCAAGAGGAGCCTCAATAAAGAATTGAGGTGAAATATTTTGTATTATGGAGTCTTTTCTGCTTGTGGTTGCTTTTTCCGAACATGCCCCCCCCCCAATCCCCCTTCTTCTTCTGGTACCCAGAACATAGCGTTTGAAACTATTTTTAAGTATCTTTTCTCACCAGGATGTTGTCTTAGTCGGAGTGGGTCGTTTCTCTGAGGACCACAGTCAGCGCTGAGTTATTAATTTTTAATGTGAGTGTTTGGATTAGGGACCCTCACTCCTTGTTTACATCCTTGTGATGTTACTGGCTTTGTCTAGAAACGCTGTAATGTAATTCCAGCGTGGTGTGTGTGTGTGTACTATACTGTTCATGTTTGTGTGTAGATAGATTTGAGTTGGTGTCAGTCCTACAGTTTGTGGGATGGGTGCAGCGAGCTGTGATGGGACACGGGCGACAAGGGTTTCTCAGGATACAACATTGAAGAGGGCCAGTTTGGTTGTTTGTGGGCATGTTAGGAGGCAGAGCAGGGTGGGTGGGGAGTGTCAAGGGGTTGAGATAATTGCTGACTCCATTTTAAGGGCATAAAAACCTCTGCACCAGCATCTCTGGCCTTAACCCCACCCCCTCTAATGAAAATGAAGTTCTATGATCCCTCTAGCTCATTAACAGCAGGTCTTTTAATGAGCTTTCAACAGGGTAGGGGGCTGGGTGGGTTTGGATGGTGTAAGGGGGGGGTTATTGCACCAGATGCACACACGCCCACTCCTACCAATTACCATTGTGTTACAGAGAATAAGGAGGAAGTGAAGACCGAAGCCCCTCAGACCCAGATGAGTCAGTTTGTCCGTTTCTCTCCACAGAGACAGAAAAAAAACAAGAAGGGAGTACAGTACAGGTGACAACCTCTCTCCCTCTGGTAAACTCTGCCCTCCCTGTCTGTTGGGCGCCAAAGCAAGCGCCATTTGGTGCTCGTATGGACCCAATTATGTAAGGTAAGGTGATACGCGGCAGAACACAGCACAGTAGCCCCTGCAGCAAGTGGATATCTGTTCCACGTCCCAGAGTGCCCTTTGTCTTCCTGCAGTCCACACCTCTCTGAAGTGCTGTCAACCCTGCACGGGACAATGCCGGCACCCATACCAGCCAATCACAACGTGAAGAGTTTATGTCAGCCAATAGGAGAGTGAGGCTGGTGCTATATGTGTTTTCTGACCAGTGACTGCCCCTGGGCAGTGGAAACTTGGACTTTGAGATCTAATGGTTGTGTCTCAGCTCCACAGAGGAAGCTTTTGTTGGTCTTGAAGTTGGGAGAGGTTGCGTCAGGACAGAGACACAACAGAGACTGTTACAGGAAATTTTAATAAGATACAAACACTTTAACAACTTCTGCTAAACACATTCTACCTCTACATTGAGATATATTGTTGTGAGGAGAAGAAGCATCTGGGATTTCAGTTTGTGTAACATTGTGCGGCACGTTTAAATGTTGTTTCAGCATCTAAAGGACATTACTGTTAAAAAATACTTTTGTCTGAAATGTATGGGCTGTTTGTAAATTAGAAAACCCTGAATGCACCCATTTGCTTTCCATATCCCCAGAGCCACGATGTTAGAAATTCTAAGTTCGATTTTTGCCTTTTATTTTTACGAGTTCACATACATTACTTATTGTCCATACATTTTATTTTACAATACAACATAACAATTTTTTTTAATCTGGTGGTGGAATTGCATTAAAATTCACTGAAATTTTGAATTTGGCAGCTACAACCAGCAACATTACAACTCAAATATCATTACATTATCAATATTATTGTTATAAAGTTATTGAGATAGAAATATTACATTTTTGTCTGCCAGTCTTTCAACCAAATTGAATTTGTAAACCTCCGTATAAAGTTTGTCTGTTCTATAAAAGAGCTGTAAGAAAGTTTCTGCCTCCATTTTTTTTATATATAGAGATCAGGCAGTTTATGTAAAGTAGAGAATGGAATTTCATCTTCATAGTAGTGAAAGACCTTTAAGTTATTATCTGTCCAAGGGGAACACCACAATCCAGATATTCAGATTAGGACTCCACCAAAGTAACCGTGAAACCACTCATTGTCTCAGTCATAATATGGTGTCAAGGAAAATGTTCTGTGGCGTTCACCTGCATCATTTTCTTGCATGGGCTGACTCAGCCATCTGACAGCTCGACCTTGTGTTGTTTATAGACACAAAGTCCAATTCTCTATCAGTATAGTGGCAAAATCACAAATTCACATTAAATTTAAGGTGACTAGCTCTGGAAATGCTCACAACAAAGGGAATGTCAGAGCTCTATGTTTGCTTTCCTACAGGGCAGGCCTGTGGCCATGAGAGGCTCTCACTTATGTATGAGAAGATTGTGCTTTATCATGGAAAAAGCCAATTAACTGGGATTTCTTTAATTACATTTCTCACGGCGTACTGTGTGTAGCCTCCAATCATCTCTGCAGTCCCTGTCCTGTTGTCCTCATCCTCCCCAGAACAGTTGAGGAGGAGGAGAAGGCAGAGGCTTGAGGATTAAATCATCTGCAGAGCAGACTGAGACAGGGATAACAAGAAAGAGAAAGATGCATTCGGGAGTGATCAGATAAACCACAGGAGTCCCCCTCTGCTCTTTATCCTTGCACGGTTCCCACAATCCCCACCTTCTCTCACCCGTCCCTCATCCCGCAATGACCGCAGAGTGAAATCTGAATCCTGGAATTACACCCACTTCTCCTCTCCTCCCTCACCCTCCCCTCACCATCCTAACCTTTAACAGTGAGAGTGAGGGAGGACGGGGTGAGGGGGCAACGCGTACCCGGGCAGCTATCCGTCAGTCCAGTGTCTCTCTTTGCCATTCAACACCTTTAGATAATGAGAGGATGGAAAGACAAGGAGGGCTCATTCTTATAAGAGGAGATATAATGTCACTGATCGCTGAGGACGAGCCCTGTGGGACGAGTGTCAGTTCAGTTGGGTTGGAGTACGAGGAAGCACTGATGAGACTGCAGTCAGGTTGATTTAAAAACAAAAGAGAGGAAGTTCAATGATTTCTCTTTTTTCCCAGCGTGAGACGGTGTTACATCAAACAGGCAGAAATTGTTGCCAGATAATTATGGTGAAAATACATTTTAAAACAAACCTAAATAAGGCTTTTCCCAGAGTGAAGGCCATGGGCTCATTTTTATCCCAGTGAAGTTGTTTTTTCGACAGATTGCAAAGACAGGGTGTGGTAGACAGACACAGAAAAACAGGCACTCATACCCAACGAAAACTGCCTCTGTGAGAAGCATATCGCTGTCTGAAATCAGCTCTGTTTACAGCCCCAGTCCGAACTGAACCAAGTGTAGTCTTCCAGTAGATTTTAACCAAGAACACAACTTTCTTCTACATTTACAATGCAACACAATATGATACAATACGTTTCATATACTGCATTATATGCAATATGATACTATACAATTCAGATCAATGTGATACATTACATTTCGATATAATATGATACAATATGACATAATGCAATATAATATCATACAATACAATGCAATACAATACAATGCAATACAATATAATATAAGATATGATGCAATGTGATACAGTACAATGTGAATTATGTTATACGATATAAAATGATAAAAAATGTTAAGATACAACACAATACAATGCGATACAATGAGATGCGATATGGTTATACACGATTATTCAGTGTGGGCCATGACTAGATTTTGCTTCCATTTTGGTTTCTGCACTGCAGACGGAGGAGCTGTTTCACAGCCACCCCCTCAGTCAAGCGTAGTTCATACCAGCAGTTAGTTAGTTACCATGACGGGTTGTATTAGGATCTTCTAAACATGACATCACTGACAGCAGTTGTGTCTGAACAGTTGGTGGGACAGCCAAAGATCCTGTGTAGCTTAATGGCATAATACATCATTGTTTTGGTGTCTGAGCCTCTGAGATGGATTGTTGACCTGAATATTGGCAAAAGGTGTTTTTTACACCACATCCTGTTTACAGGCAAATGTCTCTTCACAATTTATACCTGCAGTATCCTGTTCATATATAGAGCTTCAAGGTTGAACAAAAGCGCAACCAAATCACAAACTTAAGAAGATGGCGAGATGAGGTAATCAAAAATCTGCCGGCTCCAACACTCTCTGACAAACTGTTCCTCAAACGGCTGTTATTCTCTTTGTCTTTCATAAACACACACACACACACACACACACACACACACACACACACACACACAGACACTCTGTACTTGCTGCACCTGGTGACCCTCCTTGTGAAGCTCACAGTTAGTCAGTTGCTCAGGTAATTATGCACACTCAAACAAATATATTCAGGTCAGTCAGTTTTATTTCTCGTCTAGCCAAGAAATGTCCACAAATGCAAGAAAAACTGGGTTTGACAAGCCTCCCTGCCCACCCCCCTCCTTACACACTCACATCGCTGGGGTCAGAGGTGTTACCTGCTAGCATGCATAGTAAGGTCAGGAGGTATAGAGCTCAGTCCATGACAGGGGAAATGCTTTCATGTGTTTGTCCCCTGCAGGCCTGAGGGCAGGTGAACTGGAGCCTCTAACCGCGTCTGCACATAGAACAAACATCCACTGTCACCAGCTTATTAAGGTCTTTATGTTTCAGACTTTGCATCTATACGAATGATCCTTGAAATTAGATGTAGGCAAAGTGGTAGGTACTCATTGTGTTGCCCCATCAGAGTTATATTGCGATATTTTCATTATCAAATGATTATTACTGATGCATTTACATGTGCACAGCATTTGGTTTCAGGGGAGCTCGTTCTAACTACTTCAAATACTGTTGGGCTGCTGAATCTACAACAATATATCATAATTTAAAGACTGATCATATGCTTTGTTTAAAAAGTTTTAATCTGCTAACTTGTGCTGTCAAATGAATGTAATGGATTGAAATAAAAATACATCTTCCACTAAAATTAAATTGAGTAGAACTATAAGGTACCATGAAATGTAAATACTATGTTAAATAAAATCCCCCCCAAAAAAGA